GATTTACTCGCCAAAGACAGCCAACCAGTGGTTTTACCTCGAAGACCATATTTTTACACATGGTTAATCACCTACTGATTTGGTTATTGATACTCGCCACGCAAACCTTCAAGAAATATTTCAATTGTAGTGTGTTAATTCAAAGTTAACCAGCATTTTTCATGAATGCTATCTAAAAATGTAAACATTCTGAACTGTTCACTAGGTTGGCTACAATACCGTCGCCTACAGTCTCATTATGTTATAATTTATTCAAGCGAACAATTGAATGAAGCGATTATCACATTGTATCAGATGGAATTGCCACTCCTTTTTTTCAGTCAAGTCACACGACAAACTTAATGCACGTCTGTGTTTACCCAGATTTAACTGTGAATTATGGAAACCAAATGCTCAACATATACAATGTCTTACCCTATAATACTGTATAATGCGTGCATTCGCATTGGGACCGACGGAAATTAAACAGAGAGCAGACGTTGAGTCATACGTAATCTGCCACGGCTTAGACGTTGATTGTACTGATAAACATAAAACTCGGTTCTGTTGGTTCTTATGCTGCAAGAGCACATGCTGTTTAATTTCTATGCAATTTGAAATCACTATGACAACTAAACTGAGTAATTGTATAAACAAGAAACACCCGTTGTTGAAAGGCAAGAATAAACACAAGTTTGTCCGTAAATAACGAAGTTTTAATTACTACTAATGATCTATTTTCATATAATGATTACAGAAAAAAATCGAATAGTGAGGATGAAGCCGTGGGTTGCTTACAATGGTCAGCATTGCAGGGGTCTCTCGCTCGTTTGTTCAGTGGTCCTACGTATGCGTATTTTTATCGATAAAATTCTCGGGCTCTCGAAAGAGTTGTCCACCTGAGCAATTTAGACACGCTGACGTATATAAAGGAAACCGGAGGTGTGTTGGAACAGTACAGTACCTGTCTCTTATACACATCTAGATGTGTATAAGAGACAGGCATTATCCTGTCCATTGTTTACATTGCTATTAATCTAGGGGTTTTACGGTTTTAATTATATCGTTCCTTCCTCTTCGTATCTGTGCATGTCTTTTAGCCGTGGGTCCATTGTTTTATAATGCTGAGCACAAATGTTTATGCGAAACACCATGTTTACGACCTAGCGGTAGATTTACGTCAAGATGGTACATCTAATTAATTGGGAATGACCTACGATGCTTATATTTTGAGCAAACAATGGATAATTCATGAGCAAAGCCCATGTAATGAAACCTATTACATGTGTATGATGAAAATGTTTACCGGTACCTTACTATTAAATGCACTGGATGTGTTTTAATGAGTGTTTATTGGATGTGTTTAAGAAGTGTTCATTGGATGTGTTTTAAGTACATGATTATCATCATCGCCATTATCATCATCATCATCATCATCGTCATCATCATCATCATCATCATCATCACCATCGTTATTATTAGGGCCTATTATTATCATTGTATTTGTTGCTGTTATTTTTATTTTTTTTTTATCATTAATTAGTATTGATAATAATAAATGGATTACAAAGAAGAGCTACAAGCATAATAGTGCCATTGTAAATATTAAGATGACCTTTTATGAAAATGACTTATTGTTTCCTGAACATAGTGGCAATCGGAGGTACATCCACCAGGAATAGCAGGTACCGGGGTATAATAAGAAAAACAGTTCAACCTGCTTTAAATTTTGAGATAAGACAGAAGAAATTGATACAAATTATATATCAATCGCAGAAGGTTATTTAACATGATATATATATATATATATATATATATATATATATAAATATATATATATATATAACCCTAAGTTCTCGGCTGATATGGCCTATACTGCAGCTATGTCATACCACATGACTACACATTTGTGTGCAATCCAAGGGCCCGTAGCATTTAACTTCTGTTTTTTTGTTACGTTTTAATAATGCACAATGTAATAGGACTAATATATCATATAATAAATAATACATACTTATTACATTATATATTTGTAATTTAATGATTGGACAATGAATGCATTGATTTAATCAAATTGCAATCGGATCATGGGCCATTTCCGTTTCCATATAATCGAATTGTCTACGTCATTATACCGTTGACATTCGAAAAAAAGGCAAATGGTTTTCCTTATAGGCGTATATATGGATCAAGTGAGACACCATCGACAAATTGCGCCGTACGTTAACTATAAATAGTAATAATAGCAAAAAAAATACAGAATAATAATCTACATGTTAATTAATTAATTACGCATAGCTGGTGATGGTTTCCGTTATTTTGATAGGGCAGGATGTATGCGAAATGCTGACACATTAACAAACTTTGAACTTCCTCGCACGCGATTGACATCTGTCAGAGGAGAACATAATGTTATACCATAAGAAACAGCAATACACGTATTACACTACCATACACCCTCACTCCACTTAATTTAAAATTGCATGATAATGTGACTATGAAACTTAATATACAGGATTATCGTGATGCTAATCCAATATTATGGGGCACATGTTTATAATCCCGTGGCACATGTGAGCACGCCTGTGTTTACGCGTGGATACGCGCGTGCGTTTACTGATTCTATACTATACAACCTAACAATGTGAACCGAATAATAAGTTACTGTTCAAAATAGGGCGGATGAGAACAATCTTCATATTGTAACCATTAGCTTGTAATGAGAGCATATAAAGAATATTGAGAATAAATAGCGAACGTAATGAACTGCTGCAAGATGATGTTTGTCACGCGTTTCTCAGTATCGACGCCTTCGAATTGGGCTCGATATTGCTAACATATGGACTCAAAATACATCGTCTAAATGCCCCATTAATGTTTCTCGATTTTTAAGCCATTGAAGCCATTTATCAAAGATTCGCTAATAACATGTGCTATACATTATACAGATTTGAATTACTATATATATCGAATAGTCCTATTTTTGTCACGTTTTTCTCTCATACATGCTTATTTTCCTATAAAACTGCTAATCGCTCATTAGAATACCGTACTAGATAGTTGCTAGAGAATATATTTGTGATGTTTTATTGGTGCTGTTAAATACAGGAAGAAGTATAAACAGCATCTGTACAATGAAAATTAGTATATCATAATACTATATAAAGGAAACCGGAGGTGTGTTGGAACAGTACAGTACAGTACGGCTCGAGAATGCAATAATGGAGTCTGCCATTAACATACAGATAATAACAAAAATAGCAGAAAAAATAGGCCTATTACACAAATCAGTAATATTCTGGCTCGACAGTACTGTATTTCATCTTAACATATTTCAGAAAGGATAACAGCTATATTCGTATTACCTGCACCTCATATAATCAGATCTCTACTAAAAAGAGACGAGGTATCCCCTTTACTCGTCTCGAATATTGTACCGGGTTCGAGTACTGTACAATGTAATTGTATTATAATATTGCCAATACTGTATGAAGAAAAGAAAACTACGAGTGTGAAAAAAATAACCCAAACTGTGACTCCAACCTGGACCCTTCTGCTGTCTCTAACCAATTGGGTCAGGCCTATGCTTACAAAAGGTGTGGTGTGGGGTGTAGCAATCAATATGTATGGTTGTGTGAAGGTATATCAACGCAGTGTGCTGATGGCATTATTACTGTGATTTGTAATTATATGCAGAAGAAACATATTGGTGTATTTTAGAAAACAAATGTAGTGGAGAGATGGAAAAACGGGAAACCCCACCCGCAACTAAATGAGAATCTAATCTGACAGCAGCAATGATATTGTTGTGAACCGAAATAATAAAAGTTTACGCGTACAAAAAAATTAACCAATCACAGGCGGGTGCATTATCCGGGTGAATTATATTAGCAATACATGTCTATCGTTAAAGTTTACCCGCACCATCCGTTGACCCAGGTTGACCACAGATCTGCATACATTATATTTTGACCAGTCTTTATACACGAATTTCATTCTGAACGCTTTTCGTTGAAATATAACTTTTTATTAGAGGGATAGAGGGATTTATGTTATTTATACCTTTCTATTAGGCATAGGCCCTGTCTGTGTATAAATAGGCATATAGGCCTACAATATACGCGTAGTAAGTATACCTCCTTTTATTTTATTCTGGTTCATTTTACAATAGTATGTCCATAACATAATCTGTTGATCAATACCATTGCTTGGTGTAGCTTATTATACCCGTCTGTCATTTATTTCGTTTGGGTATTTCTCTTTTGTATCCAGTCTCATTTTTATCCATCCGGATGTCATACAAATCTATATATCACTCGTTTGTATAAATGTTTACCACTTGGCTTATATTTTTGATACTGTTCAAATAAATCTGACTATAGGCTTACTTTACTACCGTTACGTAAAGAAGCCAGTTGTATCCGGAGCCCAATTGCAACTTAATAGGTTAGTTAAGTAGAGAAATTCAGTTAAACATCGTGGTGTATTGCTTGCAAAATCGGACTTTGTCTCTCATTGCGCGGGCTTAGAATGATAAATGTATGATACGTTGTTTGTTTTTTAGAAGTAGCTTTGGCTTACATTTTGTGCTTTTGAAGTATATTTACATAACATTTGACATTCAATAGAAATTACTCCACGTTGCATCTAAAAATTGTAGACACATAATATGGGGCTTGGGAGATATGTAATGTTGGATACCTGATCGAATGATTAAAGAATCTCTTGGGTATATTAACGATCTATGAATGCTATTGAGTTATAACGAGAAGTTCTCATTCAGCGAAACATAATAAGTATAGGCCTAAAGTGTCTATATATTATTAGGTACAGTAAAAGTAAATATACTTGTATACATATAACAGCAGAGATAGGCCTAATAGTAAGATGAATGATCAAGGATTTTCTCAGTTTGTAGACAGCGTCTGAATTAGTAGACTTAACCTATTATTAACTTATTATTATACGTTTACAATCAGTTGACGAGTTTGACACACCATTAAGAAAATTGAAAAACTTACGATTTCATCTCGAACCCAGTTGACCTTATCCTGTAGGGCTTGTTCTCTTTTCCTCCTCTCCTCTCGTTTTTTCTCTCTTAATTTTCGATTTCTTTGCCAATCCTCTTCAAGGTTTCTAATCTCTGTCTGTTTATCGGTACCAATGTACTCCGTATCCATTGTTGACTGTGTAACAACTTCTTCTGTCCGTGTACAGCTTTCCATAACAACCTCAGGTTGATACTTTAAAACGTCTTCTATTTTATTACAGTTATTATTTACTTTATCATGAATCATCGAGTGACCCTCGTACTCATAAATGTTGCAGTCTACAGTTTTATGATCATCAGGATTATTGTTTTCTACAACGTCATTCGCGCTTTCCTCACCGTCCTTGTCTTCGTCGTCTGCAGGTACAATAGTCTGCTCATCAGTACCTGCATGTAGGCGAAGAATAAGGCCGTCGGCACTTTTCCAGTGTTTGATGTTTGTACATGACCTATAGTTAGATTGATTGATTACGTCCAGTGACTGATCTGAGGATCCTTCAGTAATCGAGTCGGTGCTAACACTAGTCCTGTGTTCCTGAGATTCTATTGCGCTTACTGATGCACTGTCAAGACGTTCAACATCAATTCCAATGCGTTCATTATCAACTTGCAGATGAGTATCTAGAAGTTCATGATTGTCTATCGTCTGTGTTTCCTCGCCAAATATGCGAGCAATACCAAACGAGAAGCTGGAAGCGGAAGTACAATCGCTATGACTGTCATCCTGTTCCAGTCTTCCATCTAGGGAACTATCTCTATTGATATCTTGTAAAATGTATTCACCGGTGGAAGAATTTTCAAAAGAAGCAAAATTAAGCACTCTCGCAGTTTGGGTGGAGATTGTCTCCTCTTCAAAACTAGTATCTAATGGAACATAGAATTGTGAGGTTCTATCAGAACCTCGTTTGGTGCTAAATGCACCTGACCGTCTGGCTTTAATACCATTTACTTCCCAGAACCCGTGTTTTGAATCCTTACCATGTTCACCGCTTTCCTCATCAAAACTACTCCGCTGTTCATATGTGTTTGAATTACCCATTTTGTGACCTTCGTTTTCAAAAATATCACATATAGAGTCATTCAAACTAAGTGTTGTTAATTTTAACTTAAGTATTTCCGTAGTACTTTGTGCAAGTTGTCCATGGTCAGTTGGTGAGTGTGAGCTCTGATGAGAATTCCCTGAACAAAACTCGAATGGTTCCTGCCAAAACGAATCCCAATCTACATCAGACGATGCCTTTTCATGATCATCAATTGAAGTTTCCTTTGAGTTAATTGCGCAAAAATCCTTAATTTCCTCGCTACTGTTTTCTTGGCGGTCAGTGAGTAACTGATGCAAATTTATAATAGAATTTGTTTCTCCTGAGTTTGTACTTGAGTTAAATGTGTGTTCCGTACTAAAACTTTCGGACTCGTCATCAGTGTGGTTTGGGCTACGCCGAACTCTTTCTTCATCGCGAGCTTCGTCTTGAAATTCTAACCCACTGTCGAGGTCGTCTTTGTCCACTTTCTCAGTCTCAAAGACATCGACAGAGAGAGCTGAATCATTCGTTAAATCGGTGCCTAGTTTGTATGACTCGACTTGGCTCACTTTCTGAATTTCCGGAGAAGTATAATTGATGCCATTTTTATTTCTGTCGTTCTTGAGCGACACACCGAATTTGGAATCACCAAGCGCTATCCTGGATTCCAGCTCATCATCAGAAATTGATCGGTCAATTTCATGATCAAGTACGGTATTTTCAAATCCAAATTTTCCGATCTCCACATCACGTACAAGCTGCTTATGTCCATTGCTATTACTATAATCGTCCTCCGAATGTTCATTTTCCTGTGATTTAGATTTACAGTAAACACTTATACAACCCATATTAAAGTCGGAATACGTTAGTCCATCATCATTGACCCTAACCTGGTTGTATCCTAACAGAGAGCCAAAGTATCTACCAACGCCTCGACCTGTTGACGCATCTAGCTTCTTGGTTGATAAATACTCACTATTTATGATATCTTCTTCAATAATATCTTTCCCACTGCTTGTTGCTTGATCGGGTTTGATTGCTGTTTTTATATATCTTCTATCTATTTTACATGGATTCAATTCCGACTGGACTTTGACCATCGTCAGTATATCGCCAGTCCCGTTTCCTCCTGCCCATGTGATACCGTCATCAAAATCATAGTTCCAATAATCATTTTCTAGTAATTCCTTATCACAACATTTCTTTGGTAAACTGGTCGTTGCTCCGATGGTTTGCTCAGGTTCTCCACATCCGCCTGATGCTTGTAAATGCTTATTATTTGTAGTCTGTTCGCTCCTAATTTCTAGCAGTGCGTTCGATCGTCGTACACGCGTATCGTGTTGATCACTACAACACACTGACTTTATTGACTCGGTAAACGGTATAGAGTGTGTACTCGACGGTTCTATTTGCTTTTTATTCAGTTCGACAGATGCTGCAGAGAATATGTTATTTGTTACGGCATAGGCTATAGAATCGTGTTCAATGGGCTGATCATAGCCAAGGCCACGCAGGTTAAAACTGTAATCCCAACTCCCTTTATTATCAGAATATGTTGATGTATTTTTTCCGCTCGAGTGCATTTCATGAGAATAGTGATCCTGCTCTTCAGCTAAATACTCAAAAACGCCATGTATCGGTTTAAATTGTTCATCTGTATCGGTTGCCTTGGTAACCGATGATGAATCATTTGTTATGTGTTTGTTTTGCTTTATACTTTTTGTTTCAAAGTTGTTAAGCTTCTTCAAGGATTGTCTTAGTCTTTTGAGCTGAACTTCACTGTTTGTGCTTTTGTCCAATCCACTAACGATATCCTCAATGCTCTTACGCAGTGCATCGATGTCATCGTACTCTTTCGAGGACTCTTCTTCATTGAAAAGTGAGGACTGCCTATCGCTGAATATACTCTCAAGTTCATCCAAGAGCCCGACATCTGTCGGTAGACAGTCTTTCATCGACATGTAGCTCCCATTCCTGGCAAACGCCGAGATGATTGGCTGTTCCAAGTGATCGTTACTGCGATACGCAACTTCTTCTTTTGCACGTGCGTGTCCAGTGCCAGGAGCTAATAATGCGTCACATTTATGATCATGCGCAGTAGATTCAACAGGTAGTTCTACCTGTTCACAATCTTCACTGTTTACCTCATCAGCTGGAAGTCCAAAGTGTTGGAAAATTTCATTCAATATATTGGAAGTTCCAACTAAACTGGAACGAAATTCATCCTCATCATCTTTTGGATCCTCATTTACAAACAAATTATCAACTTCTTTTCCTTTTATCTCTGATATCGTCTCATAATCAAAAAAATTATCGTTAGTTTCAATAAATGTTGTGTTAGGTTCTTCTTCTTGATTTAAATCATTCTCATTCACATTCTCATCCGTAAAGTTTGATTTCTGTTCCGAGTTTATGAGTTGATGATCTTCCTGTCTCTCATCTGTATCTAAAGTTGTTATGTATTTTTCCAATTTCACAGTCGTTTTATTGTCTATATTGTGTTCGTCGTTTGCAATATCAGATACGATTTCTATCTGTTTTTCTTGAGGTTGTTCATATGCATTATCAATATTATCAATATGTTCTTCTACGTTGTCTTCATCACAATCAAATGATGCATTAACAGATTTCACGACTCGCAACCACATTTCATCGACATTTTCACTCCTAGGCCTAACCGATCGCCTCTTGGATTGCCTCGATCGACCGAACCTCAGGGGTGTAATCCAATCCGCTTTCTCGTCTGACCACTCATATTGTGGATCAGTAGTCTCTGGGGTGGCGTAACAAAGCTTTTCGTTCTCATTATTTTGGTTCGAATAACTGACCGAAATAGTGGAAAGTCGTTTCGATTCTGGTTCCCTATGCACCGGACGGCACTCACCATTTTCACCAAGTATATAATCCTCACCGTAGAGTCTTAGAACAAGACCATCAGGACCCTCACCGTCATGAATTGACCCAGCGGTGGACTCAGGCCGACTCCATCCACCACAAGAGGAGCCCTCTTTGTCCGCACTACTATACGATAAGTAGCTATATCTATGATTATTACCAGGACTAACGGTACAATTCAAGTCGAGCGAGTCAATCTCCGCATCACTTAGGGATCTATTTGTTGCCACGGAGCTACTTGTTGATCGCGACGAGTTTGCTCCTCTTAGCGTAGTATACACCTTGCTTAGAAACCAAGACATTGTCAACTGAAAAAAATATCGTTGCTATCTCCAAGTCGTGGAGTCGAAGGTTGTTTAGATCCCCTGTCGATGACTCAAAGTTTGAGCCCTGCACGAAAATCAGCGCTGACTTAGAAATGTGGAACTTTATACGCTCTGCGACCAGTCACGGGGAAATGACGAGTTTGCTGGGGAAGTGAAATGCTCGCGCGCCTTGGCAGACGAGTTTAGGCTACCTTGCTTGAGTGTGAAAGTCTGATATAGCAATCTGACAAGCTTATTAACAAACTTCCTCCTCTGAACTTAAATCTAGACCTACTTTTTTTTGTTCATTTCAATTAGATTACAATCACCGCGATCTACAACACCAGGCTACTTCGCATCGCAACAAATTCCATTGTGAATGACTGTAACTCACTCGTTTATTCAATCAATCCAAGAGAGTCACATAATTATAATGTTGATTTCGACCTATTAATATATGAATCACAACGATAAGTCTAAACAATGCAAACAGCAATATGACTAAAGTTACTTCCCCTTCAAAAACGTATATATAAAATGGGATAAACTGATTATATAACGCGGCATACTCACCCATCATATTATTGTGACGAGGTGAAAGGCCGTGATAGAAAAAGAGGAAAAGCAAAACAATATGAGAGAGGGATAAAAAAGAAAATAAAATGAACAAAAAAAGAAGAGATACAAAAGAGAAAACAAAATTTATTTAAGAAAGAATAACAAATACAAAATAATTTCAAAATTTATTCATTTCAAACTGCTTTAGTCCCCATTTTGATAAAGCGATTTCTCTCTGTCAATTACAATATTTTTGAAAAATTCTGTTGTTTATAACAACTTTGTATTTTTTAAATATAGGCCTAACTAAATAAAAATAATTAGAATGAACAAGGAAGATAAAAAAAAAACCAACCAAATTATTTTTTGTTTTTTGTTGTAAATACCAAGTCATTCATGTCCCAAATTTTTATGCTCATTATCTTCTTTTAAAAGCAAGGTAGCTGAATTTCCCCCTTTCTATAGCAATTAAATATGATATTTATGAGAAACAATAATTAACTAATAACTAAAAAACATAAAATGATCAGTAATATTTCTATAGGAGTTCTGCTTCCGTGTATAAAAGCCAATGTCTACTCTATTATTATTCGCATACCGAAACGCAACGTCATTCTCAAATGGTGCTCAGTAGTAATGCTCATACACATGTATTGACGTGAGATGTCCCACAGTGCACTGTGCAACAATGTTGGCCATGCACATATTGGAAATATTCGAGGGAGTTGCTCCACATAATATGTCTGTATCTGAATGGTATATTTAAACCACGGATAATTAGAACTAGGCTTCCATTAATATATAGAAAATACTTATTATCAAGGGCCAAAGGAATCCGTCACTGGTTTAAAGCTCGTTTCCTTTTTCTTAGGTTTACCTTTTAGACACTACACTTGGGGAATATTATGATGGAATAGATTATCAATGAATCCCATTCCAATTATTCGAAGATGGAATTATTTGGTTGTGTAAATTTAATCAGTTTATGATACTATTCAAAGCGTTGAAACTCTGGGACAGCGACATACTTTCTGTCACGTGGCTCTAATATTCAGTGAAATTTAGGGCTAATAGGCCTAATGCTTTTCAAATGAATAGGCTATGGTAATACTGAACTACTAATAACAATAATTGATAACATAGGCTAACTTGTAAATTACTGTAGCTTATTATATTACAGTAATAACGATTTAGATTACAATGTCTTAAAAGAAATTGGCATCCTTTATTTGTGAAAATACAAGCCAATATTGACAACAATTATTATTGCAATAAATATAAATTAAGTAAGCCTGACCCCAGTGCTAAATTCGACATCCGGCAACGTTGGTAAACTTAACATCCCAACCCAGAGCATGGATATATAAGTAAGACTATAATCCCATGATTAAGAAAAAAACATACAATTTTTCAGATAAAAAGTTCAAACTTTCACTTTTTTTTTAAATAGAATATTTCTTCAGTTGCTATGTCAATTAGTTGCCTTGCCAGTCGTCAGTTGAGTAGGCTATCACAATGTGATATAGGCTCGATCTAGGCCTACAAGAAACACGCACAAAAATGCGATCCGTTTGGAGATTTTAATGTTGTTTTCCTTTTTAAGATTAATGTTCACATTGACTAATCTCATCAAGAGTTTGAGAGATTTTCGGCAGATTAGTGGTTAGTGGTTTTTTTTGTATCTACTACAAATGAAGTGGGCCTTAACCTCATAATTTGTACCGGTAGTTCCAGGGGCCTTAATACGTTGATTCATCGACGTACAGTTAAATGGCTTGGTGGTTGGGATGCTTGCTTTTCATTCCTAGGGTCGTGGGTCAAATCCTGTGTCACAGCAGAATTTTGTTGCTCACGAATAAAACCAGTTCCACTTCGTAAGCCTCATAAAGAAACTTAAGCATCATTTAATCATGTAATTGGGGAGTTACTTGTTGTTGAAAGTGAAGGAAATGAATAAATACTATGAGAACCTTATAGCAACACAACTTTGATGGCTTATTTAATTGAACATAGCGTTTCACATGTAATACTGCTTGATAAAAAAAATGTATTAATGAAACGTCTAACGACTTAAGAAAAAAAATGTAATATAAGCATAATATACTTTATAGCACATTGCGGGGGATAATCCATCTTTTGCCTGAAATTTACTCGGTTCGTTTTTCTCAATCCACATTGCGTTTCAAGTACTACAGGATTAATTAAATCTATAAATAGCAATGTTAGTAAATTTGCAAGAACATCACATAATACTGTGTTGGAATTAAAATGCCTCACAATGTTACCAAATTGCTATGGAAACATTATGGTTTAGTATTCACCTTTTAGACTTTAGTGTTTCCGATTTCCAAACTGGTTATTCGTTTCATTTCATTTATTTCGTCCAAAGAATATTAAAAGTGAAAAACAAAAAATAACAGAGAGAAAAAAACAACACTCAATTGGCTGGACAGGATTGCCTTATCTGAATCACTGTCTAGTGGCTCTCCGATGCCAATGAGAACACAAATTAAATTAGCATAAAATAGTCAAGTAAACTCTCATTAAAATATATATAAAAATATATATGTACAAAATCATCAATGAAATCAGTCAAAAGTTAATAAGATAAAACATTCAGGATACAACAAAATTTGAAATACAAGAATTGCAGCGAAAAACTAATGTTAAAATGTTCAATTTACAGGAGTAAAATGCAAGATATACGAAATTTTGAATAGAATTATTGCTTTGCATATCAATTGGTACGCAAATGCTACAGTCCTATGAGAAAATAATTTATAAGTTATAATCCAGTTTGGAATGATTTAATATTCGGGAAATTCATTATGCCTGCACTATACTAGTATTTGTATAGGCCTATGCTTCCTAAAAAAAAATGATAAACTACTTAGGCAATATTAATTCTTGTTAGCTGCATATTTTTGACAAATAATGTATTTTGTGTCAACATATACCCTTATCATCGCCCCTTAAACTCTACTTTGTCCATTTGCGTGCATTTTTATGACTAGTTCGTGGTTCAGTAGCAATTGTTCAGGGACTAGGCCTATAGAATGAAATTCTGATTCATCCTGGTTATCAGTACTCAAACTCAAATCATCGCGCCTAATTACTCGTGCTGATAGGCAATTTACACAGTCCACATATCTTTAATTTCAATAGATGTGTGGAACTGCCTGACACGTAGCCATATATATATATATATATACATCATTCATTTTTAATTTTTTAAACTATTTTTATAGAGGGTGACTATTTCAACGTATCCTATAAGGTTGGCTGATATTCAGAGGCCCTCTTAAATAAATGAAAAAAACGTCATGCTTTTATCAGCGAAGTCTCCTTATGAGGCTTAGGGAGTGGAGTTATGAAAAGTGTAGGCGGTGGCACCGAGACCTCTGACGATTAGTGCCCAAAATTATTTAAAAAAACGTAATGCAATAACAGCATATTGACTACTATTGTATATTTTCGGAAAATATTTCAGCTGCTCCAAATCTCTTTCCTATTCTTCCTTCTTCATTTATTCTTTCACAATTTTGCGTTTTATCCATATTTTTCATAATTTTATATATTCACATATATAGTCAACTCCACTCCGGATCTGCAAAAACCACCATTATCGTGAATCACTGTCACCATGCTGATATCATGAACTACATTATTAGAAATTATTTCAGACATTTTATTTAATTATCAGGAATAAAAGTAGTATATCTTTATAATTTCTCTTGATGATGTTCGGATAAACTATGGAAATATAAAATCACAGTGGCGTGTAAACGCTGTTGATACCTGGAACAGTATCTGCGTCATAAGCGTCATCTGCGCTTTAGTAAGTACTTAACATAGAGCAAACTTTTCTAACCATAAAGCTCTAATGGTACTTAAGTTCTTCCTTCAAGTTACAGTCAATAGCCCTACATTGACAAGATCTATGTATAAAACCGACATAATAATAATAATAATAATAATAATAATAATAATAATAATAATAATAACAATAAATAAATAAATAAATAAATAAATAAATAAATAAATAAATGAATAAATAAATAAATAAATAAATAAATAAATAAATAAATAAATAAATAAATAAATAAATAAATAAATAAATACATAAATAAATAAATAAAATGAACCAGACTTGTATATCGTCTTAATACCCCCATATTTAGCCATTTTTTTTTCTGTTTTTTGTTTGCTATCAAAGTTTTACTTCCTTATTTTTGCGAATACATTGAAAGGACGATTTCTCACGTTTAAATTTCAGATTAAGATCTTTTCAATCATCTCAACGTTGTTTGTCGGATTTCAATTAATCCGATTAACAGACAAGGATAACTTAATTAACCAAGGTTTACCTGAATGGGGTTTCCCTAAATTTTTGTTTAAACTTACTTCAGGGTGAAAAAGAACACGAGTACTATAATAGCATCAGTAGCAAAATTAAAGTCACAGCCAACCGAAATCTCTTCCACGATTGGTAGGCGGATTACTTGGTTATCATTAGTAACCATATTTGAAACTGAGCATTTTGTTTCAATAAGCCTTGTTCACATTAGAGCCACATACGCGTTGACATAAGCGTCAAGCAACGCTTGTACGCCTGCACTTGTGCGCGCCTAAATTTCTCCAGCATTACATTCATCAGACGGTAAAATGCACCACAAAAAATTACTGTACTTGATTTGTGGATAAGTTAGTCTACTTATAGTCAAAGGCTGATCTCACAGATACG